ATTCAAGGCTACAGTGAGCTATGATTACACCACTGCACTCCAGTCTGGGTGACAGAGTGAGAGCGTATTTCTGATACTGGAAGGCACTCCTAAGATTTAGGAGGGTTAGCAGTGAGGCCAGGGTTAGTGCCCTCCTGCTGGTGTTGTTCTTTAATCACTGTCTTGGATATGCTCCCCCAGGCTCCAGCTTCATGGCTATTTAGAGGCTGTGGCAATGGCAGCTTCTTGCTCCTGGAGCACAGTGTTTTTTTTGTTTTGTTTTGTTTGAGTTGGAGTCTCACTGTCTCCCAGGCTGGAATGCAGTGGTACACTCATGGCCACCAGGGTAGACCTGCTGGGCTTTGGCAATCCTTGCACCTCAGCCTTCCAAGTAGCCACAACTATAGGCGTGTACTACTTGGCTAATTTTTAAAAAAATTATTTATTGTAGAGACGAGGTCTTGCCAAGTTGCCCGGGCCAGTCTTGAACCCGCGGGCTCAGGCAATCCACTCGCCTTGGCCTCTCAAAGTGCTGGGATTATAGGCTGAGCCACCGAGCCTGGTCTCACAGTGTTCTTGACATAAATGGTTTCAGTAGGCACCTCTGGACACCTCAACTTCCTGGTTGCAGGGGAGATAGCAGGGCCCTGTGGCTGTTTCTGTAGTATTTTCTTGGGAGTAATTTCTGCAAACCCAGGCTGGAGCCCACGTCTCCAAATCTTCCACCCTGTGTTTTAAGGAATTTTCAACCAATTCTAAGCACTCTCGGCTACCATTCAAGGTTTTCTCTGTTTTTTCATTTTATCTATGAATATTTTAATGTTCTGTATATTCATTAAGAATTTCTAGCCGGGCTAGGTGGCTCAGCCTGTAATCCCAGTGCTTTGGGAGGCTGAGGTGAGTGGATTGCCTGAGTCCACGGGTTCGAGACCCGCCTGGGCAACTTGGCGAGACCTCATCTCTACAATAAATCAAAAAATTAGCCGGGCATGGTAGCGCGTGCCTGGAGTTCCAGCTACTTGGAAGGCTGAGGTGGAAGGATCGCCGGAGCCCAGCAGGTCGAGGCTGCGGTGACCAGGAGCGGCCACTGCACTCCAGTCTGTGAGACAGAGTGAGACTCCAACTCAAAAACAAAAAACAAAAAACAAAAACAAAAACAAAAATAAGATTTAAAAAAAAAAGAATTTCTAAAAAAAAATAGCTTAAAATACCACCTCAATATTATCATCACAATTAAAATATTAATTTTCTTAATATAATCAAATATCTAGTTGGTATTGGAGTTTCAGTTGTTTCATAAATGTCATAGTTTTTAATAGTTTGCTTGTTTGACTTAGGATTCAAATATATATTTCTTAAGTATCTTTTAATATATATTTTTCATCCATCCCTCTTTTTTTTCTGCCTTGGTATTTATGGAAAAAAATGGATCATTTTTCTGTAGAAAAACCTCATGACCTAATCACCACTCAAAGGCCCTACCTCCAACTACCTTTGGGAGTCAGGATTTCAACAAATTTTGGGAGGGAGACACAAACATTCAGAGCATGACATTTTTTGGTAATGTTTGCAGACATTAATGTCCAATGCTCAGATCCCTTAGAGGTTGCAAAATACTGATATTCTAATTATCTTTTTTTCCCATTTATTAGCTGTAATACTAGGTATTTTGAAAGTAATATAAAACCCTGCTTAAAACTATATTCAGTCCTATCAAATGTGGGATCTTGTTGAGTTAAATATAATGAAATGAGGGCTTAAGAAAGTCAATTATAATATATCCAAATTACATCATCAAATCCTGTACCAAATTCTTTTTGTGTGTGTGTGTTGGAGTCTCACTCTGTCACCCAGACTGGAGTGCAGTGGCACGCTCCCGGCCACCAGAGCCTCGGCCTGCTGGGCTCCGGCGATCCTTCTGCCTCAGCCTTCCAAGTAGCTGGAACTACAGGCATACGCTACCACGCCCACCTGATTTTTGATTTATTGTAGAGATGAGGTCTCACCAAGCTGCCCGGGCTGGACTTGAACCCGTGGGCTCAGGCAATTCACTTGCCTTGGCCTCCCAAAGTGCTGGGATTACAGGCTGAGCCACTGAGCCCAGCCCTGTACCAAATTCTTTATATGAAATCCCTTTCTGCTCAATATGCCTCGGAGGCGTCTGTTTCCTGTACTGAACCCTCTTCTATACAGACATCCTAAAATAAAACCCATAGCAGCTTGAACTTGGAGTGAGAGGATGGAAGCATGTCAGTTTCCTCATTTGTCAAATAAGAATCATAATACATTGCTCATTGAGTTGCTGGAAGCCCTGAGATAATGCAGGATTTAACTTATAGCTCACTGCAGCCTTGAATCCCTGGGCTGAGTCCATCTTCTCACATTAGCATCCTGAGTAGCCAGGACTACAAGTATATACTACCACACCTAATTGTATTTATTCATTTTTTGTAGAGATGGGGTCTCAATATGTTCCCCAGGCTGGTTTTGAGCTGCTGGTCTCAAGTGATTCTCCTGCCTTGGTTTCCCAAAGTGCTGGAATTATAGGCATGAGTCACTGTGCCTGGCCTTTATTTGTTTTTTTTTTTTGAGTTGGAGTCTCACTCTTGTTGCCCAGGCTAGAGTGCAGTAGCATGCTCATGGCCACCGCAGCCTCGTCCTGCTGGGCTTAGGCGATTCTTCTGCCTCAGTTTTCCAAATAACTGGAACTATAGATGCATGCCACCACGCTGGCTAGTTTTCGTGATTTATTGTAGAGATGAGGTCCTGCCACGTTGCCCAGGCAGGTCTCAAACCCCGGGCTCAGGTAATCCTCTCACCTCAGTCTCCAAAAGTGCTGGGAATACAGGCTGAGCCACTGTGCCCAACCTATTTCTTTAAGTTTACAACCTGCAAGGTAGCCATTCCACAGGTGCGAAAGCACAGGCTCCAGCAAAGACCAGAAACAGGCACTTTGAAGGAGGTGGGGCTGGGGTAGGAGTTTTGTGCTAAATGAATTGGCCAAACATATATATTCAATAAATTAGAAGAGGAGCTATGAATATTCATTAAGGTGGTCCTATCACATGGTTCTGAACAAACATACCTGTAACATACGATCCATGTTCACACTTTGGGTAAGAGACTTAACATTTAAGTATAATACAATTTGCTGGGTGTGGTGGTTCATGCTTGTAACCCCAGCACTTCGGGAGGCCGAGCGGAGAGGATTGCTTGAGCTGAGTTCAAGACCAGCCTGGGCAACATAGTGAGACCTTGTCTCTACAAAAAAAATTTAAAAGATTAGTCAGGTGTGGTGGTGTGCATCTATAGTTCCAGCCACTCAGGAGGATAAGGTAGGATTGCCTAAGCCCAGAAGTTTGAGGCAAGCCTGGGCAACACGGTGAGACCTCATCTTTAGAGTAAGTTTACTTCTAGAATAAACTACTACTACAGGCAACTACTATTAGGCAGAACCAGGCAGCAGGGGTTAGGGGAGTCCTACACCTTAACTTCTCACTGGACGGCCTTCTGTTTCATTTGAACTTTTCATTGTGGTTAAGTTCTTGCTATTCCCAACGTAAGCTGTAGCTTCCACAGTCCCTAAGCATGTATGGGTCCTCTGTCTGCAGCCTTTTCCTCATGGACAGCTGTTTCAGATCCCTCCCTGGAGCCATTTTCCTCAACACAAAAATAATCTCTAAGACTGTACTTCCGGGGATCACTTCTATAGTTTACTAGAGACGTTTCTCTGAACATGTAGAGCATCGAAAATCACAAGGAGGCAGCGCGGTATTCTTGGTTATGCTTTATTGCAGCAGCCATTTGCCACTGAGGACCATTCTTTTCTTCTGGGAGAGGAGAGGGCAAGAATGCAGAGTGGCAAGAAAAATGAGGAAAAAAAAAGAAAGAAAAAAGTAAGAAGAAAACTCATCTCTGCTCACTGGAATGTGCATCAGACAGGCTTGTCACCACTGTTTGAAAAGTCTTCGGAACACACCAATTTAGCCAGGAGATGATGCTCCAGCTGGTCACAGTCTCAGGTCCCGCTTCACAAGTTTGGTAGGTGATATTCTGGACTGTTACTGTGTGGCAATTCCTTTGGGGGCATTGTGAAAGAATAGTTTTAATTTGGCCTAATTAACTTGCAGCTGCCATCATGACCAGCATGAAAGGGTAGGCCCAGAACACAGGAAGAAATCTCACTGTGCTGAAGGCTGCTTGGTAGATATTAAGAATTCACTGTAAGTTTCTTAGGTGTACTAATGGTAATGTGATTATGTTTACAAAACATGTATTTCTACATGTAGTTACTTATTTCTGGATAAAATATAACCTCTAGGATTTGCTTTAAAATTTTCTAGGGTGGGGAAAGAGAGTAGTCAGATTAAATGGATTGGTCATTTATTTATAATTGTTGAAGCTAGGTGATGGGTACACAGGAGTTGTTTGTTACATTTTTCCTTGTGGTTCAAAATTTACACATAAAAGTTTAAACAATCTACACACATAAGGGCAAGCATACGTATTAATTTTAGCATACATAGGAACGTGAGGCTATTTTATATAATCACCTACTCTATTGTTTGGCACAGAGGAGTTGGTCAAAGTTCAATAAAATGATATTAAATTTAAAAAACAGGCTGGGCTCAGTGGCTCAGCCTGTAATCCCAGCACTTTGGGAGGCCGAGACAAGTGGATTACCTGAGCCCACGGGTTCAAGACCAGCCTGGGCAACTTGGTGAGACCTCATCTCTACAATAAATTAAAAAAAAAAATAGCTGGGTGTGTTAGCACACGCCTGTAGTTCTGGCTACTTAGAAGGCTGAGGTGGAAGGATTGCTGGAGCCCAGCAGGCTGACGCTGGAGTGGTGGTTGAGTGTGCCGGTGCACTCCAGCCTGGGCGACAGAGTGAGACTCCACTCAAACAACAACAACAACAAAACAGAAAAAAGAATCATCTCAAGCCCCTCACTGCTCAGGGTACTGATTTTCACCAGTTTCGTGTCCAACTGTCTGGCTCTTTTACACACACAGTCTTATACTTTTCCAGTAAGTTTTTATTAGTAGTTAAATCATGATTCAGGGTCCCAAAGCAGGGAACACCATGTACCCTTTAGCCACCCTGGGAGAAGGACGGAGGATATAGCAGAGGTGGGGTGCAGCCAGTTCAGATCTTCCCGGGAAACGTGCCCTCAGCCCGGCGGTCATCCCAGGTTGAGACCTAAGGAAAGACAGACGGTGTTATTTCCTCCTCTGTGGGGAAAGAGGATGGGTGGGCTTGTCTTCCTCACTCTGCCAACTGTACACTGAGTCAACAAATGGTCACAGGTGTCTGTGTGCCAAACACTGTTCCAGGAGCCACAGAATCAGCAGTGATGCCAAAAGACCAAAACCACAGTACTGAACGAGTTGATACATTAGGGTGACAGTAATGGGCAGAAAAATCCCAGGGTCACTGCAGGACTATACCCGAGAGACCTGTCACTGCCCAGAGTTTCAGGAGGGTAGCCATGCCCTGCTTCATGAACTCCAGAATCAACACCACACTGTCTGTCAGAATAGAGGAGAGAGGAAATGTACCAGGTTGCTGTACAAAAAATGAAGCTGATCTACGTTTTGGCATGAATGGGTCACCAAGATATAAGCAAGTGCACAAAAAAGGCCAAGCAATACACTGTGCGATATCACTGTTGATCACACATGTATGCACAGTATAAAAAAATGATGGAAAGGCCCATATCAAATTAACACTTCTTGTTGAAACTCTGCTCTTTGTGAACCTTCCCACAGGCAGTTACAGCATATACATTTTAATACACAGACACACACTCGTATTTATACGCTTTGTTAGAAGCAGTGGATAAAAGCATGGACAACATAGACTGAATCTGAATCCCCACTCCATCACTTCATAGCTGTGTGACCTCAGGCAAGTTACTCAACTTTTCTGGGCCTCAGTTCCAATTCTGTAAAATGAGGATACTGCTAATAGTATCCACCTCACATAGTTGTTTCAGCATGTTTAACCTTATGTGATATGCTTAACTAAGCTGGCCCCTAAGTGCCACCCATGTATTTGCCTATTTTATTTATACACACATACATTACACCATAAATACTCTGTACTTTAAAAAATATAGAAATTGGGTCATACTATAGGTTACTCTGCAACTTGCTTTTCCCATGTCCTAGAGTGTAGATCAACACATTCTCCGTAAGGGCAATCAAGATTAATTCATCACTATTATCTAACTTGGGTTCTTTCTGAATGTTTCCCATTATAAAAACTCTGCCAGGGACATCCTTGTACATGAAGATTTTTGTAGGATGCCTAGATGTGGAATTACCAAATCAAAGGAAGATAAATTTTTTTCACTTTGAAAGATCCTGCCGCCGAGCTCAGTGGCTCAGCCTGTAATCCTGCGCTTTGGGAGGCCAAGGTGAGTGGATTGCCTGAGCCTGCGGGTTCAAGACCTGCCTGGGCAACTTGGTGAGACCTCATCTCTACAATAAACCAAAAATGAGCCGGGCGTGGTTGTGTGCGCCTGTAGTTCTAGCTACTTGGAAGGTTGAGGCGGAAGGATCACCGGAGCCCAGCAGGTTGAGGCTGTGGTGGCCAGGAGCGGCCACTGCACTCCAGTCTGGGGACAGAGTGAGACTCCAACTCAAAAAAAAAAAAAAAAAAAGATCCTGCCAAATTTGACCTCAAAGCCATTGGATGAATTCACAGAACCAAAAATCACTCTACCAGAGAATCTAGTCTGCCACCACGGGGCAGTATCAACCTTTATACTCTTTGCACCAAGACTGCCAGGTTAACACAAGGACTTCTGTGTTTCCTTGATGACTGGAGTGGGGATGAACTTCTTTCATGTCGGGGCTCATCTGAAGTCTCTTATACTGGACTTGCACTCTCTACAGTCCACAATTCTTTGAATTTCTCAGTTGCCAGGTTTACCTTAATTGACATTTAAAAAAATATAATGCTGTATATAGATATTAAAATATCACACTGTACCCCATAAATATGTATAATTATTGTGTGTCAATTAGAAAGATAATAAAATGCTGGAGAAAATGAGGGACAGTGACAGGCTGGTCCTACCCTTTGGCAAGGTCCTACCCTTTGGCAAATTACTCTTTGCCTCAATATCTTACTTCATGGAAAGGAAACTAAGGAATCCCCTCAAATATAATTTTAAAAATCCTGCAGTAGAATTATACACTAAAGTATCATTTATAATAGTGAAAACAGACTGAGTCCACCTAAAAGGGAAGAGAATATTTTAAAACTATTTTTGAGTTGGAGTCCCATTCTGTCGCCCAGGCTAGAGTGCAGTGGCATGCTCACGGCCACTGCAGCCTCAACCTGCTGGGCTCAGGTGATCCTTCTGCCTCAGTCTTCCAAGTAGCTGGAACCACAAGTGTACGCTACCACGCCTGGCTTATTTTTTGATTAATTTTAGAGACGAAGTCTTACCAAGTTGCCCAGGTTGGTCTTGAACCCCTGGGCTCAGGCAATTCTCTTGCCTCAGCCTACCAAAGTGCTGGGATTACAGGCTGAGTCACCGTGCCTTGCCTATTTTTTAATGAGTTGGTTGTGGTGGCTCACACATCTATAATCCCAGCACTTCAGGAGGCCGAGGCAGGAGGATCACTTGAGGCCAGGAGTTTGAGACCAGTCTGGGCAACATAGTGAGGGAAAAAAAAAAAAAATATGATGGTTACCTAGTAACTGAGTAGATTCTATTGACATAAAAACAGGTATACAATGCATATTAAGTTAAAAAAAAAAAAGCAGGATGGGTGCGGTGGCTTACACCTATAATCCCAGCACTTTGGAAGGCAAAGTTAGATGCATCACCTGAGCCAAACAGTTTGAGACCAGCCTGGGCAAGAAAGTGAGAGCCCACCTTTAAAAAAAACAAAAACAAAAACAAAACAGTCATGCACGGTGGTTCATGCTTGTAATCCCAGCACTTTGGGAGGCTGAGGCAGGAGGATTACATGAACCCAGGAGTTCAAGACCAGCCTACGAAACATAGCAGACCTACGTAACATAGCAGACCTAGTCCCTATGAAAAAAACAAATTTTTTTTTTAAATTAGCCAGGTGCAGTGGCCCTGGGCCACAAAGTGAGACCTCCAACTTAAAAAAAAAAGATTAAGCACACAGAAAAGGAAGTGGAAGATTTATACCCAATTAATTACTAAGGGACTCAGAAGGAATAAGAGGGACTTTCACTTTCTATATTACATAAAGTTCGTTTCTGAAGATTCAACAGAACCCATTGCTGGAACCTAGACTTTTTTTTAAAACTGGAAAATAAAATTATTGGAAAAGATGATTTAAATGCTCACAGGAGTTAGGAATTCCATCCCCAACTCCTGCCCGCCAACCCATATACATAAAGGGATTAGAAATTAATTTTTTAAAAATACACAGGAAAAAACTGGAAAATGCTATAATATTGTTAGCCAGGACAGAAAGATGAGAAAAATTTTTCTGTCCTTTCCTCGATTATTAAAGATTCTGCAAAGTAATTATATTGCTTATAAAACACAAAAGTAAACACTTATTTTTATTTACACCAAGTTTTTGGAGTAAAGAAGCCAGAGCTGCTGGGCATAAAGGGTCCTGTGCAGACTGCATTTATGTTGAGCCCTAACAGGGCAGACAGAGTGGACACCTGAGTGCAGGAACCACACCATTTGATGCTCCCCATGTAAAGGCAGGCCCAGGCCCGAAGGCTCCCTGTCCAGCATGCATCCAGTGCAGGCCCTGAGGCTGGAGGAGAGAGATTGTGGGATCACAACACTTTGTTACCCAAATCACCTAGGGAGAACTCCTGGGGCACAAGGTACTCAGAGATACTTGAGAGGTGAGAGGAAAACCAAGTAAGCTGAGGAAAACAACGCCACCAAAGCATTTTGTTCTAGAGAGAGGAGCCCCACAGATACATATCCAGGATGCCTCAAATACTGAAAAAATCATATCCATCAAAAGGGGACCAACTAAATAAAAGCATCTATAAGTTATTTATTTCGGTTTTTAAAAATATATAAGTTATTTAAACAAGGCAGGTCCATATGCACTATCATTAAAGGCTCTAAGATACACTAAGTCAAAGCAAACCACAGAACAGAATACACAGCATGAACCATTCATACACAGAAAGCTCCAAAGGCTTATTTGAAAAATAGAGTCAGTTAACAGCAGTTACTGCAGGGGAGACAGACTAGGGAGCACAGAGGGCTTCCACTTTTTATTTTATTGTACTGCTCACATTTGTTTTTTTAAAATAAGCACTATTACTTTCACAATAGTATCATAGTTTGATTCTAAGAAACATGGTTCTTCATTTTAGTATCTCTGAAATGAGCATGCTTGTTACATTCATTTCCAGCAATTTTTAAAAAGATTCAAATCTCTCTCAATTTCAGTGGGGTCCTTGAATTTGATGAAATAGGGTAATATTTATTTTATTAAAAAAGGCATAACAAAGAGTATTAAATACTGACAAAAGGTATTTAATGGTCAGATCAAGGCTAAAAGGACAGCCTTCTAGTGTCCTTATTATTTAACGGTGCACATTGAAGCATATAATTGTGAAACAACATGTCTGAAATTTGCTTTAGAATACTCCGGCAGCCTGGCTCAGTGGCTCAGTCTGTAATACCAGCGCTTTGGGAGGCCGAGGTGAGTGGACTGCCTGAGCCTGCGGGTTCGAGACCTGCCTGGGCAACTTGGCAAGACCTCATCTCTACAAAAATGAGCCGGGCATGGTAGCGCGCGCCTGTAGTTCCAGCTACTTGGAAGGCTGAGGCGGAAGGATCACTGGAGCCCAGCAGGTCAAGACTGCACTCCAGTCTGGGCAACAGAGTGAGACTCCAACTCAAAAAAAAAAAAAAAATTACTCCGGCAAAGGAAAGAAGAAAAAAGAAAATGGATACATGAAGAAAATGTAGAAAAATCTTGATAACCATTCTGTTTGGGTGATGAATGAATGTATTTGGGATTGCTGAATTATTCTCTCTACTTTTATGTATACTTTGAAAATGTTCATAATAAAAACAACAGGATTATACAAGACTGTGAGCTCCACAGGGATAGGCACTGAGTACATATTTGTAGAGATCAGGAGCAAGGTACCTCTAGCAAGATGCTCCTGGTCACCTCGGCTGAGAGCACTGATTGGTTGAGAGTTATCAGTGAAAGGAGGAAAGGAGGCAATTCTAGGAAGGAGAAAGGCAAGAGTCCTGTGAACAGTGTGATGCCTTGTCCTCCCTCTGGCCCTCAGAGGATGAGCTCCCACCAAGTCATCACAGTGCCCTCTGCTAAGACCCCACCCCAGCATCCTAAGGACCCCAGTAGGAGGTACATACCCAGGATATGGGGCAGAGTGACTTGTACACACGCCGGTACCATTCACACACAGAGACATCGCCCCCTTTAGCAGTCATTGCCTTCTCACAGCGGTGGAAGTCTGTAAAGAAAGAGGTTCAGGGTCAGCTCACACCAAGGGCTAGAACACATTTCTGATCAAAACTCAGTAAGAAATAGCTAAGGCTTCATGATCAGTAATATACACATGTATATACACACACAGGAAACAAAAGTTTACAAGGGCTAGATATCTCACTAAATTGATTTTGCAACCCCCAAGAGAACTGCTGTTCAGTTTGAAAATTCTAGGGTCAGAAATGATGGGGAGGCCAGGCATGGTGGCTCATGCCTGTAATCCCAGCATTTTAGGAATCCAAGGTGGGAAGATCACTTGAGCCAGGAGTTCAAGGCTAGCCTGGGCAACATAGCAAGACGTCGTCTCTACAATAAAAATCAAAAAAGTCAGCCAGGCTTGGTGGCTCAGCCTGTAATCCCACGCTTTGGGAGGCCGAGGTGAGTGAATTGCCTGAGCCCGTGGGTTTGAGACCGGCCTGGGCAACTTGGTGAGACCTCGGAGACTGCGGTGGCCGGGAGCATGCCACTGCACTCCAGTTTGGGTGACAGAGTGAGACTCCAACTCAAAAAAAAAATCCAAAAAGTTAGCTGAGTGTGATGGCCATGCCTGTAGTCCCAGCTACTCGAAAAGGCTGAGGTGGAATGATTGCTCTGAGTCCAGGAAGTAGAGGTTGCAATGAGCCATGATTGAGATTCGAAAAAAAAAAAAAAAGAAAAGAAAAGAAACAATGGGGAAGCATGCCCTGTGTGGGGATTATGGAAATCCAGGGTGAGGGAAGGGGAAGATGATTTTGAGGCTAAGATGCTGAGTCCTAAGGAGGAAGGCACAAAGGCAATAATATGAGTTTTTAAAGTAGACAATTAAAAAAAAAACCTGCTCTAGGTATTCCACTCTTGGGCACATTCTCTAGAGAGAAGTATATACACAGACATAAAACTGCATTGACAAGAATGTTAGCCAGGCACACTGATGGCTCATACCTGTAATCCCAGCACTTTGGGAGGCAGAGGTAAGAGGATTGTCTGAGCCTAGAGGTTCGAGAACAGCCTGGGTAACTTGGCAAGACTTCGTCTCCACAATAAACCAGAAAATTAGCCAGGCATGGTGGCACACGCCTGTGGTTACAGTTACTTGGAAGGTTGAAGCAGAAGGATTGCCTGAGCCTAGCAGGTCAAGGCTGCAGTGGCCGTGAGCATGCCAGCCTGGGCAACAGAGACCCCGACTCAAAAAAAAGAAAAAAAAAAGTTTATAGTGGCAGCATTTCTAAAAAGTCCAAAATGAAAATCACACCAGTATCTATGAATAGAATAAATTGTGGAAAATTATACATCAGTGAAAATCAGCACACCATATGCCATTGCATTGACTCTGAAATACTGTTGAATGAAGAAATCCAGAAACAAAGGAATACACACAGTATTTCTGAAGTCCACAAAGAGACACACAAACTTGGTGGTAAAACAATGATGTGATCCCTCTATATTGGTGGGGTCACATCTCTAGTGAGAAAAGAAGAGTGGTATGTTGAAGACAGGGCACAAAGCAGGTAGGGGAGATCAGAGTGCTAGCAATATCTATTTTCTGTCTGGATTATGATTGTGCATGGGGTTCCCTTTAGAATTATTCATTTAGCAGTCCATGTTTTATGATGATGTAGTTCCTGTATGTATGTTACATCACACACACACACACACACACACACACACACACACACACACAGAGAGACATCTGAAAAAAATATTTGTGGAAACCAAAATTTGTGACCCTGACCCAGACCTGAAAAGAGTTGATGAGGGGCATGGATCTTCAAAAGGTAGGATATCCAGAAGGGAGGAGGCTGGGATGGATGAATTCCCCAGAAGGAGGTAAGAGGTGAGAGACTCCGAGTGCGGGTTTGCATTCCTCCAACAATAAGCCCTGCTTACCTAGGTAGTTCTGCCAGCAGTTCCTGGTTTGGTTCTGGTTGGGGAAACGGCTGTCAAAAGGGGCAGTCTTGTAGTTCTTGATTTTGGTCTTGATGTCTTCTGCCATGATACTGACTCCTGGAAGCAAAAGGAGTAGGTGTTGGTAGAAGTCTCAAGTGGCCTGAGCATGGGCATGTCAGACCACCCAGGCACAGAAGAACGGGCTGAGTGTAGCCAAGCTATCTTAATCCTTTTGGTCACAAACTCCTCAGGGGTCTGATGAATCCCACAAACCTCTTTCTCAGAATATGTTTAAGCACATTAAACATTGTATAGGATCACAAGGAAAACCAGTTATATCTGAGGATTTATTAAGAAACACAATTTTTAAGTAGTCACGAGTGGATATGTATTTTGTGGCACTTGCAACTATAATGTGCAAACACATGATTTTGACTGCTAACAAAATCACAGCTGCTGTTGATATTACTGTGGCTGCTGCCTCCCATACTAACTGAAAACAATGCCGACATTTCAAGGTCAGTAAAAATACAAATGTAATCCCCCCCATTCAAATACAAGCACTTGAATTCTTTCAACTCTGCGGACCCAAGGTTTAAAACCTTTAATGTCTCTGAAGAGGTGACACAGTTTTTGCTACGGAATCTGAGAGACAGTGCCTATATTCCAGCGAATTCTTGGAACTGTGGGGCTATACAAACCAGTGTCAAGTTCAAGCGGCCCAAGGCAGTGGTGAGGGTCTGGAACACTATAACGGTCGGGGTCGGGGGGAGAGCCAAGGAGGGAGAATGTAAAACGGAACACAGACGCTGTCTGAAGAGTAGTTATGGGCGATATCTCGACCGGGCATTTGGGGGGATAGACCGAACACCAGAGAGCCAGACTGTGGCCCAGGCAAGCCGCGGGGACCACGCGTGAAGGCTGGTGATGAAGAGTTCTGTAGTAAAAATTACTGGGTCCAACCCTGGTCGCCATGTAAGCTCAGCTAAGTCGTTAGTATCTGAACCTCGGTTCCTTCGCCGTCAAAAGCGGATCATCGCAGGCCCTACCACACAGGGCTGGTGGGAGGGTTAAATGAGTTAATGTAAGTTGTTTGCAAAAAAATGTTGCCTGGCATTATGTAAGAAGCGTGTGTATAATCTTTAGCTATTACTGTTGACAGACAGCCGGGCCCCAGGGCCCAGGGCGAACGGATGCCGCCGGCCGGAAGCCTCAACCCGTTCTCGGGGAAGCCAGGGTCTGGTTCCTCGGCCGACAGGCTAGGGTCCCAGGTTCCAGAGCCCTCCACACTCACCGAAAGACGCCCCCGACGCGCGTCGCCGCTCAATGTGACCCTCAGCAAAGACGCCGGCGCCCGACAGGAAGCGGAATCAAGACCGGCCGGAAGCCGAGAGAGGTGACGAATGGGAGAGTTTTCCGCGCGGCTGGAGCGCCCACGGGAGGCGGTCGCCGAAGCCGCTCGGGCCACGCCCACCAAGAGAAATCCAACTCTCGATTGGGCTGAATGCGTGTTCATCATCGCTCCTGGCCCAATCATGAGCTTGCGCGACTCTTCGAACGGCTCTGGCGCTCAGGACGCCTCGTCCGCCGCATCGCCTTGTCTTTACCTGAGGAACGCATTGGAGGTCCCGGGACTTACTCATGCAAGAGGTATTTATCGACCAATTATTCTGTAAGGATTAAGCCTACATAGCTGCACAATTCCCATCGTGTCAAAAATCCGTATCCTCATAATTATTACGGGGTCAATGTTAGGCGATTGAAAACGAACCGGTCTCTCCCGGTGTCACCCGTCACGGTACCAGGAATGCCCAGACTCCACCACCTGCCTGCTCATTACCATCTGCCCCCAAACCTGAGAAGGCATACGTTAGCAACGATTTGGGTGGCGGAGGGCTCAAAGACCAAGATCGTGCGTCACAGGGATGTGGGGTTAAGTGTTAAAACTTGGGTTTATGAAGGACCTGGCAGACATTGTTCCATCTGGGAAAATGGCAACTCTCTCCTTCTGGTCACAGAGTTGTCCTTGATTCCTACCTTTCTCTCACACCCTATAGCTGGTTTACCTAGAAGCCCTGTTAGTTCTGTCTTAAAAAATAATCTTCCTCTGCCGCGTCTGGTTCAAGCCACCATCACCTTCAGCCTAGACTATGGCAGTAGTCCACTCCCTGGCATCCTGGTTTCTAGCTGTCCTCTATAGTATGCCCACTCAGCCAGAGGGACACTGTTACCTGTCAGGTCACATCCCTTTCTCAGCCCAGAGCCCTTCCCTGGCTTCTGGTCTGACTCTTAGTCAAAAGCCAAGGTTCATATACATTACCTGCACAATTTGACCTTCCTTCTACCTTCTCCTGCCTCTCTCCTCTGCATTCCCACTGCTTCAGTCACATTGGCCTCTTATCAGCTCCTTAAACATGCAGGCTGACTTTCCACTAAAGATCTTTGCATATGTTGTCCCCTTAGCTTGGAATGCTCTTCCTTCAGATGGCTTCCTCTCTCACCTTCAGATTTTTACTCAGACGTCACCTTCTGGGTGAGTCCTTTTCAGACCAAATATTTATAATTCCCATCTTGCCAGTCTCAATTCCCCTTCCCTACTTTATTTCTCTGTAGTGCTTCTCTTTTTAATTATGTTTAACTTTTTGTCTCCCTCAATAGAATAGAAGCATCATAAAGAAACAACTTTTGTCTGGGTTAAAGACTACTGTATCTAAAATAGTACCTGGCACATAGAAGGTGCTCTATAAATATTTGTTGAATGAATAGATTTCTTGTGTAAATGAAAGGGGCATCTGGGGATTAGGAGAGGGAACTGTGAAAGAGAGCTGCTTTCCTTCCTCCCCTGTCTGGTCTCCAAAGCTCCACATACTGTCCAGGCCTAACTGGGTCAGAGGCCTCTTTTTACACATCCTGTGTTCATCAACATTGTAATTATTTGTTGAATCACCTGTGTACATGCCTGCATTCATTCTCTTCAATGAGATTTTCCTAAAATCCAATCCATCCCCTGATTAAACCCCTTGGTGGCTCCCCAGCGCCCTGGGTTAAAGTCCAGCCTCCTCACCACGACCCACAGATCATTTTTGAACTGGCCCATGTTCCTTCTTCAGTCACACTGATGTCTTTGAACAGTACTGTGAGATATTCCATTTCTGAGCCTTTGTTCTTACCGTTCCTTCTACCTGAAGCATTGTCTACCTGACTTCTCAAATCAGCTCTCTCCTCTTCCCTGACCCTCCTCCAAGGCTACGTCAGGTCCCTCCTTTTGGGCTCCCTCAATTTCCTGAAGTTTCCTCATCCCAACCCAGACTTTCCATATCTGGTGGTGGGTTTGTCTTTCCACTGGACTGTGCGCTCCCGGAGAGCATCCAAGGTTGTCTTGGTCGCTGCTGTATCTCCAGCATCACCCACAGGCGGACCACACAGTAGGCTCTCTTTAGGGGCTGAGCGGTTCCCAGGATGGGGCAGGCTGTCTTCAGAGACTGGCTCTGCGTTCTAGGTCCTCCAGCATGGTGTGGGGAAAGAGTAGGTGGTGTTAGGGTGCAAGCGCTAGGATTAATTCCTGATAATCTCTAACACTGGGAGAGCACACAGAGTCTGTTTTCTCTTCGAGGGGCCACAGCAGATAAACTTTCGTGATTAAGTTTGATTCCTTTAGAAGTCCTGGCACAGGGCAGGCACATAGTAGGCCCTGTGGGTTTGATTCCTTTGTATGTTTCATCACAGAGAGGGAACACATTAGGCTCTCTAAGGGTCCGGGTCTCTTTTGGTCACCGCCCAGCACTGGAGGAGGGTGGCTGTTACCCCAAAACCGACTACCTAGGTGAGAGTTCCGCTAAGACTGTGGAAGCCGGAATCGTAAGGCAGGGGTCTAAGAGGGCAGGACCCGGGAAACTGGCAGCGACGGGGTGGGGCTTGGGGACCTGGGAGCTCTAGAGAGATGAGGAGCCGGTGGCTCGCACTCCTGGGTCTTGAGGGAAAAGAGAATGAAAACACTTGGAGTCTTCTAGGGACTGGAGGTTTTTAGGGGCCAAGAGGACGAGGACCCCAGGCTCCTGGATTATGCGAGAGGACAGAGATGAGGGCCCAGCCGCCTGGGTCTCCGAGGAGTGGAGGCCAAGCTCCTAAATGTGGAGGTGCACGCCTACGCTCAGTGCCAGCGGGAAGGACGCAGACAAGCGCGCGCCACGAGGCTTGGCAGAATGTCTTTTATTGGGTCTCTGCTGCCTGTCCGCCCCCCGCGCAGTCCGGAGAGGCGAGGACGGGCACGCGGCCCCCGAAGCGGTACGTGTACTTGCGTCCGCCGCTCTTGCGCACGATGTCGCGGCGGTAGTAGTAGCGCAGGCCTCGGCTCAGCTTCTCGTAATTCATGCCGGGCTTCCTCTTGCGCTCGCC